CAACCTTCAGGGCAGCTTTGCAAATGGGAATACTGAGGCCCAGAACGGGGACCGCAGGTCCCAGCATCAATGACCTGCATTGGAAGCATGGTGAAGACATAATTACTTCACATCAGCAAATAGATGATGGTCGCAATTACAAAGAAAGAAAGAACTAGCCCTAGCCAGTTTGGCTCAGTGGATAGAGACTTGGACTGCAGAATGAAGGGGCCCTGGTTTGATTCCGGTCAAAGGCACATACCTCAGCTGCAGGTTCGATCCCGGGACCTGGTTGGAGTGTGTGTGGGAAGCAACCAATTGATGTATCTCTCTTCCATCGATGTTTCTCGCTCTGTGTCTCTCGCCCTCCCTTCCACTCTCTCTAAAAATCAATGGAAAAATATTCTCGGGTGAGGATTTACAAAAAGAAAAAACAAAACAAAAAATCAACAAGAAAGCAAAAAAGAAAGAAATAGATCAAATACCAGACATAACATAGTACTTCTTATTGAGGTGAAATTCACATAACACAAACTAGCCATTTTAAAATGTACAATTCAGTGGCATTTAGTACACCCACCTCTAAGAAGTTCCAAACATTTCAACACTCCCCCAAAAATACCTCATTCCCATTAGCAGTTACTTCCCCTGTCCAGGCCCCCAGACCTAAGCAAATACTGATCTGCTTTCTGTCTCTTTGGATGTACCTATTCTGGATCGTTCATATGAATGGAATACATGGCCTTTTGTGTCTGGCTTCTTTCAATAAGCATAATGTTTCTGAGCATGATGTAGTGCACCAACACTTCATCCCTTTTTTATTTTTTAATTATATTTTATTGATTTTTTACAGAGAGGAAGGGAGAGGGATAGAGTCAGAAACATAGATGAGAGAGAAACATCGACCAGCTGCCTCCTGCACACTCCCCATTGGGTATGTGCCTGCAACCAAGGTACATGCCCCTGACCAGAATCGAACCTGGGACCCTTGAGTCCATAGGCCGATGCTCTATCCACTGAGCCAAACCAGTCAGGGCTTCATCCCTTTTTTAAAAAAAAAATATTTTCATTGATTTCACAGAGGAAGGAAGAGGGAGAGAGAGAGAGAAACATCAGTGATGAGAGAGAAACATCAATGGTGAGAGAGAATCATTGATCCGCTGCCTCCTGCACGCCCCTTACTGGAGATGGAGCCTGCAACCTGGGCATATGCCCTTGACCACAATCGAACCCGGGACCCTTGAGTCCATAGGCCGATGCTCTATCCACTGAGCCAAACCGACCAGGGCTCATCCCTTTTTTATGACTAATATTCCTGTGGATGGGTATACCACAGTTTATTTATACACTCATCCACCAATGGACCACAACATAGAATTTGCATATTTTTGGACTTGAACATCATCACTAAGACTATTTCTACTCCCTAAAACCTAACTCTAATATCACTCCCCCACGGGTCATGTGATAAGCCTTCCCATACAAGTTCTCAGGTAATATCACAATTTTGCAAAGAAGTGATTATCACACACACACACACACACACACACACACACACACACACACACCCCATCTTTTCACAGATTCGGAATCTGAGGCACAAAACGATGAAGTGACTGGATCCAGGTGGGATTCCAAGCCTCGTGTCCACCCCTCCCCACCCCCACTGGTGTCTCTGATTGTGGGTAATTGAAAACAAAGTCCATGTGGAAAGCAAACTCCTTGGGAAGGATTTCAACGCAGTGTAAACGAATGCAGAAAATCCATGAGTTCTGTGTCCTTCTGAACACCCTCTGTGTCTCTTTCCAGGCAGGCAGCCAGCCTGCCAGGCACACAGCTCTCATCGCTTCCCTTTTTGATACTCCCTCATTACTTTTAATTGCATCTGAGCCTCTGTAGCATCTTGTATTTTGATTCCTAATCCAGGGCATTTCTCTGCCTCCCACTGGTCCAACACGGCATTCTCTCTCGTAGCTCTCTAGAGGAGTGCCCCCGAAAATGGAATTGGTCTTCTGTAATGAATTCATCTCTATAATGAATAGTATAACATCCAAGTTCCGAGCATATTTACATAGCAATCTCCATACACAAGCAACATTACAAAGGGAATGTTTTTTAAAAGAATGCCATCTCAAAGCTCCATTTCCTATAGTACTAAGAACACTATGGGAATTACCATGACAAGAAGACAAAAGTGACTTCCAGGGATGCTGGATAGAGACAATAACACCAGCCCTATTAATGTTTAAAGCCAATGGAGCATAAAACTGCTTTTCTCTACTTACAGGCAGGCATCATCTTATAGCGAGGAGGGAAAAAAATTACCATTTAACTCTGCTGAAATCCATAAGCTCTCCCCTAATTTTCATTCCCCTTGAAATTCTCCAGTTAAAACCATCAGAATGAAAATGAGAATCACTCTGGGGGAAATGGCTTCCAATCCTCCTCAGTAAAGGTGTGAAGAGCCCTCCACGGAGATGAAGGAGGAAGGCTGCCTGTCAGTCACCAAAACCTGCAGAACTAGTGTGGTGACACTCTGGGATTTGGGAGCCTCTGGGCTGACTTCACGAGGGCTTTAAACAATCCCAGGTCTGGGTAGATGTGAGGGAGACAGAATACAAGGACTGGGCAAGTTCAAGGCAGTCATGCCTGTGGGGTGTGTTTTACTTAGTGGGCTGCAAGGGGGAACATCATTACTATATTAGCTGTTTCCCTGGGGGGATCGCTGGAATGGAGCCAGGCCTCTGTTAGTAAACCATTGGACCTGATCCCACATTACATTTGTGTAATGCCTGACAAAGCCTGTTCCCCTTTATCTCATTTGATCCTGAAAACAATCCTCAGAGGGAGGCAGGGCAGGGATTATTTTTTCCATTTTACAACTGAAAACACTTGTAAACTGATTTGCCAGGAGCCACAACACCCCAGACATGGCAGGAATGAGACTTGAATCTAGGTCTTTGTACAACCTGTTCAGGGTTCTTTTGACTGCACACCGCAGACTGATCAAAATATTTCCAGCCCCACCCAGTCCTCACATTCATCAGCTTAACAGCAACTGGGAGCTCACCACCACAGAGGCTGTGTTTATACTGCTCACACACCTCTGTCCTAAAGAAAAAATACTGCCCTGATTGGCAAGCTATCTGAGGGGAAAAAAAGAAAAAGAAAAACATTAGTTCATACCATCTCCCTGCACCAAAGCAAAATTAATCCAGATGGCTTTGAAAAAAATGAAGGCATTAGGAAAATCTAGGGAAATTTTAACTGAGTAATAATTTTTCTGGAGGCAATAAGACTTTAAATTTAGCACTATGTTAGAAGTCTCAAAGAAAGGGATATTTTAGATTTGACTACATTTGTTACATTTAGTAGGGGAGAAAAAGACTGTATAGGGCCAACAAAAAAACTGAAGATATATTCGTACCAAAAAATGAAAGAAAATGCCCTACCTTGTTTGGCTCAGTGGATAGAGTGTAGGCCTGCGGACTGAAGGGTCCCAGGTTTGATTCCAGTCAAGGGCACATGCCCAGGGTTGCAGGCTCAATCCCTAGTTGGGGGCATGCAGGAGGCAGCCAATCAATGATTCTCATCATTGATGTTTCTGTCTCTTTCTCCCTCTCTCTTCTTCTCTGAAATCAATAAAAATATACTTTTAAAAAAATGAAAGAGCCCTAACCAGTTTGGCTCAGTGGATAGAGCATCGGCCTGCGGACTCAAGGGTCCCAGGTTCAATTCCGGTCAAGGGCATGTACCTTGGTTGCGGACACATCTCCAGTGGGGAGTGTGCAGGAGGCAGCTGATCGATGTTTCTCTCTCATCGATGTTTCTAACTCTCTATCCCTCTCCCTTCCTCTCTGTAAAAAATCAATAAAATATATATTTTTTTAAAAAAATGAAAGAGTTAACTTCTGGGATGTAGGAGTCATGCAAATTAAGAAAAATTCAATAGGAAAAACTTATTAGGGAACAAGTCACAAAAAAGGGAAGTACAGTTGGTTAACATTTATTTATTTAAAAATATGTATCTTTTTTTATTGATTTCAGAGAGGAAGGGAGAGGGGGGGAGAGAGAGAATTATCAATGATGAGAGAGAATCACTCATGATTGGTTGCCTCCTGCACACCCCACACTGGGGATATCCCAGGGCCCACAACCCAGGCATGGTCTCTGACAGGGAATCCAGCCATGACCTCCTGGTTCAGAGGTCTATGCTCAATCACTGAGCCACGCCAGCCCGTCAGTTGGTTAACATTTAGAAAACTAGTGTACCTGAGTAAAATCAAAGAAATGAAAACTGCAAGGAGTTATCAATTTCACCTGTGAAATCCACAAAAATTTAACTAAAATACTCAGATACTAGTGAAGGTGCAATGAGTAATGTATGCTCACCCAATGATGGGAGAGGAAATTCACCCACCTGGAAAGCAATTTGGCACATTTATCAGAAACCTTAAAATATCCATATCCTTTGACCTAAAATTCCATCCCTGGAAATACATTCTTAGGAAAGACTCATCAACATGGAAAGTGCTATGCACAAAAATGTCAGTCACAAGCTTATTTACAACGGTGGAATTAGGCAGACAGTAAACATGAAAGGAATTGTTTAATAATTTATGGAACAGCCACTTGATGGGAACTTACATAATCATTGTATGTTCTCAAAGTACACGCAATAACACTAACCGTTTATGGTGTAATACCAAGTGAAAAGTGTACAACATTGTATATGTGGCTGTTTGTATAACACTTTAATAGAAAAGGCCAGAAAGGGGGCGGGGGAGGAAATGTCTTAATGTGAACCATGTTTGAGTCCTATGATTATTAGAGGATTTTTCATCGTCCTATATTCTATTGGAATCTTTTATGTTATTTATGTATGTATTTATTTATTTATGTTTAACCCTCACCTGAAGATATTTTTCCATTGATTTTTTTTTTTTTTTTTTTTTTAGAAAGTGTAAGAGAGGAAAAGACGGAGAGACACATCAATAGGTTGCCTCCTGCACGCGCCCTGACCAGGGCCGGGCGGGGAGGAGCCTGCAACAAGGTACATGCCCTTGACCTTAATCGAACCAGGACCCTTCAATCCGCAGGCCCACGCTCTATGCACCGAGCCAGACCTGCTAGGGCTGAATCGTTTATTTTTTAATGAACAAAGTCAACTCTTGGTTAGCCATGCGGTGGCGCGTCCTCCTCGCCCTGTGCTAGAGGACTGGGAGTAGGGGGGAAGCTCAGAAATGCTCCCTCGCGTCGATTCAGGCCCCCTTGCTGAGGGCCCCTCAGCACCCCCAATTCTCTCTCCCTTTCCCCGCCCCCACCTTTCAGAAGCCGGACCTGAGCCCACCCCTCCCCCACCCCTCCCCAGTCTGCGGGGGGTGGGGATGGCGGGTGCGCGGGGGAGGAGCGGGGCGGTCCCAAGCGTTGAAGACACGTGGGGAGGGAGCCAGCGTCTGAGGAGGAGGGTTAGGCGTGTGGGTGGGTGTGTCTGCGAGTGGGAGAAACCAACCCAGGTCGCTCAGAGGCTCCCTTGTCTTAGGCCGCTCATCCGCCCGGAGACCTACTAAGGTCTCCCCACGTCCAGGATCCCGTTCAAGGTGGACACCGAGCGCAGATGGGAGAAGACGCCTGCCCCTGCCCTGCGCGGTCCCCGACGCCCCGCGACGCGAAGCCTCCTCGCACGTCTCCCCCCGCCCCGGGCATTGGTAGGGCCCCGCGGCGACGTCACCCATTGTTTACAAATCAACCAGAGCCGGTAGGATTCCTGCTGCCGCGGCTGCTGCGCGCGGCTCGGGTGCCTGCCGCTCTCCCGCTTCGCGTCCGCCCCGGCCTCGGCCCCGGCCCCGGCTTCGGCCCCAGCACCGCACCCGGCTCCGCCGCGGCCCACCGAGCCGCCAGCGACGCCCGCAGAGCTCCCGGTTCCGGGGCGGGGGGCCATGCCGTGCCGGAGGGAAGAGGAAGAGGAAGCCGGCGAGGAAGCGGAGGAGGAGGAAGAGGAGGAGCAGGGCAGCTTCCTCCTGCTGGAGCAGTCGGTGACGCTGGGCGGCTCGGGCGAGGTGGACCGCCTGGTGGCCCAGATCGGCGAGACGCTGCAGCTGGACGCGGGGCAGGACAGCCCGGCTTCCCCGTGCGCGCCCCCCGGGCCGCCGCTGCAGCCCCCGCGGCCCCCGGCGGCGGTGCTGGCGGACAAGGCCCGGCCCCCCGACCGGCCGCTGCTGCTGCCGCCCGCGCCGGCCGCGGCGGTGAACCCGGCGCCGCCGGGGGCCCTTCGCTGCGCCCTCGGGGACCGCGGCCGCGTGCGAGGCCGGGCTGCGCCCTACTTTGTGGCCGAGCTCGCCGCAGGCCCCAGCGCGCTGCCCGGACCGTGCCGGCGGGGATGGTTGCGGAGCGCCGTCGCCTCCCGTCGCCTGCAGCAGCGACGATGGCCCCCGCCCGGGGCGCGCGCCCGCGACGACGACCCGCACCGGCTCCTGCAGCAGCTCGTGCTCTCGGGGAACCTCATCAAGGAGGCCGTGCGGAGGCTCCAGCGAGCTGTCGCCGCGGTTGCAGCCACAGGCCCGGTGGGACCGGACCACGTCGCCCGGCAGCCCTCGGGCGCCTGGCACTGACCCGGGGCCCCAGGAGGAGGAAGAGGAGGCCGCTGCGCAGACCCATCAGCGTCCTGCCCTCACCAGCCCTGAGCTGAAGCCGCCTCGGCAGCAGGGAGGCGTGTGGGGGAAACCTCGGGCCGTGAAGTTACCGCCCCGGCGAGGGTGGGAGAAAACTTGAACGTGGAGAAATGCACGGGCCAGGACAAGTCCGTGCCGCGTGAGAATTCCTCCGGCCACCTTGGTGCCAAGGAGCTGGGATAAACTGGGAGAACTATGGCAGCTACTTTTACTGACTAGTACCTGACCGAACCCTTGGGGGCGTCGTGTGCTTGGATTGTTTAAAGATAGGGCCCCAAGGGGCGGGAATCGTGAGGGCTTTATAACAATACTTGAAAAACTGAATGACAGGAATACATTTTCTTTATTTTCCGGTGGAGGAGCTTAGTGAAAATGGTGCTACAATTGTGCAAAGAAATTCCGGGGGGAAGAAGAAGTGCAGAAGCTTGGTGGGGGGTGGAGGGGTGTATGACCCCCCCTTCTCCCACCGAATCGGCAGCTCCCCGAGGTGGGAGATGTGAACGTCAGTGAGAGGGTGGGAGGGAGGTGGAGAATTTTGAAGGTGGGTAAAGTTGAATTTGGATTTTTAAAGGAATTGACCTTGCCACCTGTAGTCCAAGGTCACGGTTTGCTGTCTGTGGGAGGCTGTGGGGTTCCTGGGAGAGCGAACTCACCCCCCCGTCCTTTCTCTTCCTCCAAGAAGAGCCCTGTCTGTGCTCTCCTACCTTTTGGGAGTCCCCAGAAAAGACATAGGTGGAGAGGGACATGTGGGGAGAGTTGCTTGTTTTTTTTTCTGTGCTTTCCTTTCCAGAACGCCTCCTCCTCCTCCCATGAGGCCACTCTTGGCCATGCCCTGCGCTTTCTCAGAAACGGTCATAAACAATCTCTTGGATCTCCAGTCCTCCCATTCTGCTTTTGTCAATCCACCTGTTCCGGTGTCTGCACTGGTAGATGAGACCCCGGCTCTTTTTCTGCTCTGTTCTGGCCTCTCTGTGGATCCGTGGGTCCTCACCCCTCACAGTTTCCTCCTGCCACCAGCCCTTCTTTGTGAGTGACTGAAACCATTTTTAAAATGTGATTCTCTGAAAGGAGAAACCGCGGGCTTTATCTTTGTGAAACTTGATGGCGCTTTAAGCAAGGTGCCACCCTCCCCCCACCCGACTTTAAGGTAGCTAAACCCATTTTTAAAAAAAAGATTCAATGGCTTTTTCATCCTTCAGATGTAGCTATTGAGGTACACTTCGCACCGGAGTGTCTGAAATTGTGGTGGTCCTGATTTATAGGATTTCTTAATTAAAATGTCTGCTGAATAAATTTGTTTTTTTGTTTTGGAGCGTGGTTTGGCTTTTTGGTGGGAGGTGGAGGAAAGAAGAGAACTTGGGGATACATTTAATAATGAAGAATGCACTTGGGGAGACCCAGGCCCAGCACAGAATGCTGGTAGCCCTGCAGGACTTGTGTGCTTCTCTTCTGGTTGATGGTCCACAAGATCAGAAAATTAAACTGAGCTTTTGTTGTTAATCCTGACCCGAGGATATTTTTTTCCTCTGGTTTTTAGAGAGAGTGGAGGGAAGGGAAGGAGGGGGAGTCAGAGAAACATCGATTGGTTGCCTCTGGTACTCCACCCGACAGGGACAGCCGACAGGCAGGGATCAAACCTGCAACCCAGATACATGCTCTGGACGGGGAATGGAACCTGAGACCCTTCAGTGCTCAGGCCGACACGCTAACCACTGAGTGACACCAGCCAGGCCATTAAAATTTTGTGGAGTCCCTTCCTACTGGCTCCCTTGCCCTTTTTAAGAAAGCCTTTCTTGGCAAAGCCCTGAGCTGGAGCTTCAGGGGAAGTGACTCAGTTTGAGTCAGCCTGCTGCTCACCAGCTATGTCATATGGGGCAAGTCACTGTTCTGTGCTTTTTTTCCCTTTTCTCATTTATCAAACAATAATACTTGCTGTGCAGATTTGTTGGGACAAATTGAATAGTAACATCTATAAAGCAATATTTTTTAGGAAAAAAAATAAAGCAATAATACTTAAGGTAGTTGGAGGGTCATGTGAGGATTTGAGGTGTCTGGGATATTTGAGTGCTAATTCTTGACATCACCATTGGGCCTTCCTCGTTCAGGCAGCCCATATCTGTCTACGCAATGTGCCCCACTAACACTTCAGCCACCCCTTCTCTTCCACCGTGAGCACAAGCAGGTTTCTTCCTCTTTTGCTTCGTAAGTTCCTTTTCCTGAACTCCTTCCAGCGGGCCATCTCCACACACCTTCCAAACAGCCTGTCTCTGCTTTCATCATTGGGGCTGGGGGTGGGGGGTGGTAGTGTTTGCTGTGCCACTTACTGTTCTGGGTGCTTTAAATAATTAGAGATTATATTATGTCATGGCTTTATTTGCCATAATTATTTTATAGATTAGGACACAGGCCCAGGAGATTAAGTGATTTGTCTGAAGTTACCACCTTTTTAAAAAAATATATATTTTTACTGATTTCAGAGAGGAAGGAAAGGGAGAGAGAGAGAGAGAAACATCAATGATGAGAGAATTATTGATCGGCTTCCCCCTGCACACCCCCACTGGGGATCAAGCCTGCAACCCAGGCATGTGCCCTTGACCAGAATTGAACCTGGGACCCTTCAGTCTGCAAGCAGATGCTCTATCCACTGAGCCAAACCAGAGTTACCACCTTTTAAGTGGTGAAGCTGGGATTTTATCCCAGGCAGTCTGGCTGTAGGATCTCCTTCCCTCAACCACATCTTTGAATCATCCTGTACCACCCACATGAGACTTTCTTGACACCATATTCTCTCATGTTGGCTTTATTAAAGTTCTCAAGAGTATCCTACAAACTTGACCCACTAAATACCTCAACACAATAGCATCATTATTCTCAAACTCTTCTTGTATACCAGCCTCCTAGTGGGAGGTGCCGGGGACCTGGGATCAGGCAGGGTTTCAGACATCCTGGAAGAACCCACAAGCAGGTTTTGGGCCAAGACCTTCACATAAGGTAATAGGAATTGCATAAGAGAAGCACAGATAATCAATGGTATATGGCTGCTGCTTTTAGACCCTCAACTCCTCTGTAAGATGTGGACATAGGGCCAAGATGGTAAGGTCTCACCCAGTGCAGATGTCCTGTGAGTCTGCAGGATGGCCAGCACAGCATTCAGGGGTGACGCTAGCATGGTGACAAGGAGGGAAGATCTGGACCTGAGAAGCAAGGGAAAGGGAACGGAGAGCCCTGTTCTAGGCAAGCGCTCTGCAGGCACATTTCACAAGATGTTGCTTTTAAAAAAATATATTTGATTTCGGAGAGGGAGGGAGAGAGAGAGAGAAACATCAATGGTGAGAGAGAGTCATTAATCGGCTGCCTCCTGCACACCCCACACTGGGGATTGAGCCCGCAACCCAGGCATGTGCCTGACCAGGAATCAAGCCATGACCTCCTGGTTCATAGGTCAACAACCACTGAGCCATGCCAGCTGGGCAATTTGTTGCCTTTCAAAGGGGAAAGGTAGGAATTATTGGTGCTAGAGCAGGATCTGAACTCATGGCTCTTAGGGTGACCCTCTTGCCACCTGGCTGAGCCTATGTACACCTTTCTTCCTTTACCCCAGCCCATGCTACTGATCAGCCACTTACAGAGGCTGTAGAGAGCCTAGTCCTGGGCCTGGGCTTGAGAAAGTGTCTCTGTACCAAGGAGGCAATGGTCCTTCCCAAGGTGTTGAAGTTTGGGATAGCATATTCCTAATAACACTTGGCCCAGGAATGATTATGGCTCGGATCTTTAACCCCGTGGAATGGATAGGCTCAGAACTAGGGGCATGGGCATAGGCAGAGCTGAGTCAACTCCATCTTCTGAAGGGGCTGAGGCCTGGTTTCCCTGGTAACATTCTGCAAGTCTTGAGTCCAGAAGGACCAGAACAATAGGGAAGTGGTAAGGAGAGGCTGATTGTGTGTATGCGGCAGAGGGGTGGTGGGGGTTGATTAGGAGTTTCACGTGGTAAGTGATAGGGACAGCAGCCTGGTGCTTCATAAATGCCTATAAATTGGAGAGAGATCAGGGTTGGAGATGAAAGATTTGGCATTTAGAGCTAAGAGGGGTGGGTTGAGCCTGGGAGATGCTATCAGTTGGGAAGAAATAACACTAGCTAATGTGCAGAGTGCATACCTTGTGCCAGGATCTGTTCTAAGTACCTTACAAATACCAGCTCATCAAACCTATGTGGGAGGAAGAAGAGTAAACAAAAGGATTAGAAAGAAAGTGAGAGCAGAGAAACCAAGGGAGGCTAGAAGGTAAACGGGATGGTGGGTATGTGAGTGTATCTCCACACACACGGGCACAAACATAGAGCTATATCCATCTGTATTATCTCTTCATGTGTCCTCTGTGGCGAGGTCCAGGGTATTTAAAATCAGATCTTGCTCAGTCTTTCATCGTTCTTTTTTAAAAAGATAAGTTTTTATGGACTTTTTTTGTTGTTTTTTTAGAGAGAGGAAGGAAGAGGGACAGAGAGATAGAGAAACATTTATATGGGCTGCCTCCTGCACGCCCCTGCTGGTGATCAAGCCCCCAACCTGGGCATGTTCCCTGACTGGGAATTGAACTGGCAACCTTTTGGTGGATGATGCTCTAACTAACTGAGCCACACTGGCCAGGGATCCATTGTCTTTTTTGAACCCTGAAGTTATTCAACTTCCCTTTACTGGCACCATTAAATGGTGTGTTTTGAACATCTGCACTCTTGAGTTCTCCCCTCCTTAATACACCTGAAGAAAAGTACAATTTAGGGTGCATCTGAAGAAAGGTGATTTTTACTCCTATGTCTGGAGAAGATGTTCAGGAAAACCTAAGAAACCATTTTTCACCCATATTACGCTATGGAATCTGATTCAGACTAAAAAAGAAACGGGCAAAAGGCAGGGCAAAGGTAACATGATGAGATAATCAGCTTGTGACTTTTTTTTAACCCACCCAAATCAATAAGTCAAACAAACTGCCTGAATAGCTTATCAGTTGGGGGTTGTGAGTTTTATCTCCTATGAGTCAGTTAATTGATAAGGGGAAGCAGTTAAAAAGTTCCTTGGTATCATATTTAGTTTTTATCCTATTGTAGCATAAGGTACAGAGAAGGATTCATTTGCACAATAACAACGAAACATAGCTATCCTAGGCAAGAAGGGTTATGCAAGGTTGTTTCAATAGCCAATCCTCAGGTCCCAGGCCTTGCCTTGGTATGACAGTTTGTGACATAATATAGACATCAAACCCTACGATCCCTCTGAACCCTGCCTTTCAAACCTGTCCTGCCCAGGGAACCCCATCCCTTCCTGCCTCCAGGAGCCTTGTCCTTTAGCATCTTCCCTTCCGTTTCTCATCCACAGTCAGACAAGAATAAATTCTGCCATTGGCCCTACTTTCCCTTTTTACCTGCCGTCCCTCCTTTTCCATCGTCTTTGAACTTCTAGGCACCACAACTCATCATCTCTGCCCCAAGCACCACACACACACCCTTAGCTTCCACAACTCTGTTGAAATTGCCCAATTTGTTTGCTCTGCAAATATTTATTAGATACCAATACCCAGCGTTGTTACTAAATGCAGCTACCTTTCAGGCAGTGACCTAAGCATTTTTACTAGAATTAGCTCAATGAATCTTCACAACCCTATGAGACAGGGACTTTATTATCAAACTTCATGGATGAGGAACTCGAGGTTAGACAGATGAAGTGACCTGCCCAGCGTCATAGGAAAGAGCTTTAACGGAAAGAGCCAGGATTGTGACTGGGGCAGTCTGGCTCCAGAGCATTTTGAACTATACTGAGGCCTACAGTTTTCTTTTCAGAATGTGTATCTTAAATTTTCCTCTTTCTCCCCGCCTGCCCACCCCCAGGCCCTTATCACCTGGTGCCTGGATGTTTTAAAAGCCATCCACCTGATCTAGCTGACCATAAAGGTTTATCCTTAACCTTTGTCCCTCCCCCATGCTGTGTCCCCTGATAATCTGCCTAAAACATCCTTTTCATTTTGTCACTCCTCTGCCATCAAAGAATATGTAATCTCTTTGGGAAAAGGAGACACTCACATATGAGCTCCTGAGATAAACCTATAAAGACTGTAAATAAAATGAAGAGTGAGAACAAAATGAATTTGAAGATCCCTTCCTGCGAAGACATTGCATGACTTTCACAGTACAAATTATAGATGGGAGTGGCCAGGGCAGGCATGCAGAACTTCAGGTGAGCACTGAATTTGAATTAGAAGGGGATGGGTTTTCGGAGGGGAAAGAGAGGAGCTAAGAGCTGTGGCTCCAGGCTATCCTCCCCA